TATTTTTAATTTTCGAAATTTCTTCACATATTGCTTTGAAGTTTTTGTACAACGTTGCATTTGAATACGCGCGTATTTGTATACTTTTTGAGCCACATGTGGTTGGGTACAGCTATGTAAAATAAATAAAATAATTTAGTAAGTATTTTTAATTTAAATTAAAAATCACGTTAAAGATGAATATAAAAGCGAAAGCAAGCTTAAGCCGAGAGTCGCCATTATGATGAAATTTATTATCTTCCTTGGCATATTTTAAAATATTATTATATTTTAAGCCAGTTTAAACATTTTCGTGGCTGTTTTCAAGTCTATCTCTTACTCGTATAATATTACGGTTACTAGAATTTCTAACTGTGTATAAGGATTATACTGAAATATAAAAAACGTTACCAATTACTTTTTACCGACTTCAAAAAGGAGGAGGTATTCAATTCGACTGCATGATTTTTTTATGTATGTTACCTCATAACTTCTCTCTGGGTGAATCGAACCGAACCGAACCAATTTTGATGATTCATTTTTTATCTGAAAGCTGGTGCTTCTCATATTTTAATCAAGATCTGACCAGTAGTTTTTGGGTTATCTTTAATAATGCTTATTTAATTACCTTCGAATACATTGATTCGGTCTTAAAATGGGTTGTACAAAATGTATAACTTTATCACTTGTTTCTAATCTCTCATCTAATTAAATTACTTAAGCAGTTGTTGATTTTGTTCCTTCATTTGTAGACACGACAGAAGATTTCACGTTTATAGCGATACATCTATAACACATGAAAATCAGTTACCAATTGACAAGATACCTACTACGTATGAATGTTACATAGAAAAAAAAAACCAGTCGAATCCATAACCTTCGTTTTTGAAAGTCTGTTATTTATTTTAATCATTTGATAAACACGAAATAGAATTTAGTTGTGACAGAGGGAAACTGAAACAAGAGTTGGGCAGCAGTATTAATATAAGATAATAATCAAATATGTATGATGAAAAATTGTGGATGTCATATATGGTTGACACCTTTTTTTTAACAAATACAGTATATATCCCAAGAATATGCAAAAATTTAGTACTTTTGAGAAATTCCGGAGAAAAAGCAAAACTTGCACATTTATTTTTAATTTTTAAGAATTTTTCCGTATATATTTGTTATTGATCTTTGCTTTGGCTGTCAATTATCCTATCTTTAAAATAATAATAGAGGTCTGCGCAATTTAGATTAATAATAAAATATATTAACAATTAGTTTTCAATAAAATTAATATAACGCTCTATTTCTTTCTTCTTTCAATTTTACATTCATAACGATAATAATTCTTTCCGTAAAACTTACTTTCAGACTTTTTTTTGTTTCAGACTTCTACTACATATTATAGTACGTGTGGCAACTATTGTCAACCATGAAAAGTAGCAACTATGGAAAATGGAGGGGATATGCCCTCGTCTGTTCAAACGCCATATTGAGACGCTATCAAATAGGGTATGTTCCGAAATACAACGCAGTGTACTGTCCAATGCAAATGACGTCATGAATCGAGGCTATACTGGTGATTCGTTCCAAAACATTGGACAGTATATGACGTCATACTTTTGTGCCATATGGAAAAGTGTTGGCGATTATTTTGTCATTTTGTGCTCCAAAAATCATTATATCCTCCTAATGGATATACCATCAATTATTCTATAATTTTTTGTATTTGAATAAATAGAAACAAATTCTGGCATGCTTCATTCGGCAAACACACAATTAAAAATTGTTTTATTATGGCCGGATATCCTACACAATATGGCGGCGGTACGCTAGTACAATAAAGTGTCAAATGATACGTCATTTGCATTGGACAGTACACTGCGTTGTATTTCGGAACATACCCATAATATGCGCATCTGTCAAACGCATAATATGGCGTCGAGTGATAGCAAACTACATATTTGTAACATATATATGGTTGTAAAACACATATATATATAACATATATATCTGTTATGCATAATCGGATAGCTTTTATTATTTAATAACGTTTCCATTGATATGATTTTAATATATTATATATTAAAATCATATCAATGGAAACGTTATTAAATAAATTTACTAGGCTGCACTAAAAGTATCGGGAATGGAATGTTTCCACAATTCCTGTCATATTAAAATCTTTTTAATTGAAAACTCCTTGGTTTTAAAAATCGAATACCATTTATTTATTTAAAAAATGATTCTCGGTCACAAGGTTTTGTCAAACTTGTTTAGTCGTTGAGAAAATGGAATTGACTCGAGAAAATTCAAGAGCGATGATTTATTATGACAAAACCACAATTTATCGCTGGTTTGCTGAATTTCAACGTGGACGTGTCAAGCTAAGTGATGATCCCCGTCAAGGTCGTCCAAAAACTGCAGTCACCCAAGAAAACGTTGATGCTGTGCATAAGCTGATTGAGGAAGATCGACATGTGACATACCGTGAAATTCAGGCAACTTTAGACAATGGCATGAGTCAAATACAAATAATCTTGCATGAACAATTAGGTGTAAAAAAGTTGTTTTCCCGATGGATACCGCATTCGCTCTGTGAAGAGCAAAAAACGGCTCGCGTTACTTGGTGCGTCAGAACTCGAAAATTTCCACGCAGGATCCTCAAATGCTGTATACAACATCGTATCAGGTGACGAATCCTGGATATACGCGTAATAACCCGAAACAAAAAACCAGTCACGAGTTTGGGTGTTCGAAAATGAGTTAAAGCTAACAAAAATTGTTCGTTCACGGAGTGTTGCAAAAAAAATGGTGGCCACGTTTGTCTCCAAAACCAGCCATGTTACGACTATTCCTCTTGAGGGACAAAGAACGGTTAATGCAGAATGGTAAGCTAGCATTTGTTTGCCACAGGTCGTTACCGAACTCCGTAAAGAGAACTGCAACCGCCGCATCATCCTCCATCACGACAATGCGAGTTATCACACCGCACACAGAACAAAAGAGTTCTTAGAGCAAGAAAACATAGAATTATTAGACCATCCGCCGTACAGCCCAGACCTAAGCCCTAATGATTTCTATACTTTTCCTAAAATAAAGAATAAATTGCTTGGACAGAGATTTTCATCACCTGAAGAAGCCTACAAAACGGCCATTTTGGAGACCCCAACTTCAGAATGGAATGGTTGCTTCAATGATTGGTTCCATCGTATGGAAAAATGTGTCAAATTTCACGGAGAATACTTCGAAAAGCAATAAATACATTTTTAAATAGTAATGTTGTGTCACTTCCTCGATTCCCGAAATTTTCAGTGCCACCCTCGTAGTACTTCGGAAAGTGCTCGACAGATGCGCCATATTGGCCAAAATGACCCCGACATTCGAGTGGATAAGGAATTATATTGGGGAGGCCTACGTTTAGCAGTGGACTTGTAAAGGGTAGTTATTATGTTATTACAGATAGACTTCGAAATTTATTAAATCAATTTATGTAAAGATAGCTCTCAACATATATAACTATATATTCTAGTCCGAATGTCTGCTTATCACAACAGTTAACGAACGTTAGCAACTTTGTTTTAGTCATACCATACACAACACTATAGGTCATGTTCAGGTCCAAGATAATTATTAATTTGTATAGTGTTTGGACTATCTAAACTTTAGACACATGGGAACATTAAAACTTAAAAATGAACATATTGTTATTAATAGCATCTGTTTCATCATTCATTTTGTCATTCTCATAACGTCCATATGCTGAACACCTGCCTCTCTCCGGGAGTTGTTATCAGGAAGATACTGCTGCCCATATCCTATTTCATTTCTCTTCTTTAGGACCTACGAACTACACGGCTTAGAGTAATTTTATGTATAATATAATGTATTTTATTTTGTAGTAACTTATATAAGAATTAAATTATAATTAATCAGATAGTTGGCAATAATACTTAAAAAAATTAAACGCTATTAATGATTACTAATCAATCATATTTTTCGAGTAGAAATACTATTACGAAGAGCTCATTTGAAAAAATATTTTGAATGTGATGGAAAAATCGTTTTTACATTTTGTAATCATCTTACTAGTTGCAATAATACCAAAAGAAACTTATCTATAAGAAATCTTGTTACCTATTTATATGCACCTTCAATATAACTGCTGTTACAAAACAAGGATATTATGAAATAAGAGGGTTCCGTGACCGGTCAACGTCCGGGCGACTACGTTTTGTGACATTTTAAACCCAGCTATGTTACGTCAATAAATTATGTTGAATCATATAATAATGTTTATAATAGTAATGATTATTAGTTGTAACAATTTTGTCCCTATATTATTTAAAAAAATATTTGGCAGAAAACACACCGAAATCTGTATTGAGTTGAATTTCATTCTAATGCTGTTTTTTCGTTCAATGGAAGGCCATTTTATTTAAATTTAGAATAATGCATAAATGAGTTTCAATTTAATAGAAAAAATAGAGTTCATACAAAATAAACACGTAAGTTTAAATTTTAAACTGCACACACATTCGAGTTACACTCGAAGCAATGCATTTTATTAGTAGTATCTAGACCTTGAACGGCCCTTACACAAAAATAACTACTGATCAATCCAATTATTGTGAACGATGCAAAGAAACATATTATACCCTATAATAATCTAAAAATACTTTGTACTTGGAAAAATTACATCGAAATTATCGGGTGTATGATGTTAGTTTTGTGTCGCGGCCATAAACCTACCTACTGTTGCAAATAGTTCGAAATTTAAATCCACGGTCCTGTTATTTTTCAACTGGTCTATTATAACGATTAATAAACTAAATATACAGTTACAAATGTTTATTTAGCGAATTAACATATTATGTTGTTTCTTTTATGAAGTTGCTTTAACTATACTTGACGGATAACTCGAAACAAAATTGTAGAATCTGATTGCGGAAATTACACAATAGACGATAATTACGAAACCCACTCGCCTGGAATTACTCTCAATTCGGTAAAAATAAAAAACTCCTTACCACTGTCTACACTCTCCTCTGATATCTTCTTCACCATTCTGATGTTTTCCTGATGCTGAGATACAGCGACAATAAAATATTATGAGTAGGTGTTACTACTCTTGAATAGCCGCTTTCAAACTTGTACGGCCGCCTTTTCGACGTGAAATCGGAACGGCGTTTAAGACAAGATATAAAAATTAACGCCGAAATAATTAAAAAGCACCACCGTCGAGAAGGATTCACGAAAAGTGTGACGGAAGGTATGAAACAAACACTGTTAGAAGGCGGAATGAAAAAAAATTATCAGGTATCTTTAGCGATCCATTCTACACACGCCCGTCCATTCGATGTTCTAAAATCCAACTGAAGTGAAGAAAAACAGCCGGCCCGGCTCAGCCCAGGCGACGCGGCAGTACGGCGCATTTACCATTCGTCCCTCGCCTCATTCTTCACCTCCGATAACTTGCTTCGTGTGGTCACCTCCCGCTCCCGCCCCTTCCCTCGCATGCGTACTCTTTCACACGCTGACGTGTTTACATTTTTTGTCGTTTATTTTTTCTCTTTGTCGCTATCGATATTAATAAATTAATAATCTTTCCAAACTTCCCAATACAAACGCATTTAGATTTAGCCCATATTACTAGATTCGTAATAGTCTATAGATACCTATAATATAACAGAAGCAGGATTATATAATAAGGCCGCTGTATACGATAAATTAAAAATTGCATCAGTTGTGGATAAAAATAGAATTTTTATAGTGTGCCTATACCATTGGTTTATACAAAACTATTCCTACGCCAAATTTTAACTGAATAGGTAGTTGTCACCTTACATAGGTCTAAATTTGTCAACATAGGTAATTATATTTATATTACTAGGATGTACTTAATGATTTTAATATTACCTATTAAAAATTTAGAAACGTTGTTTGGTGCTTAGTTGGAATAACACTTCAAATATTGTACTACCCAATGATATTTTAATATTGTGGGTGTCTACCCAAATCATTTTTAAAGTTCAATTAACACAGACTTATTAGTTTATTACTACAATAAAGATCGTTCTCTTATGACTGCAATAAAGATTGTCGTAGAAGGTTAAATATTTTTAAGTATAAATTTAATCAGTGAAACCAATAAAACCTGTAAAACTAAGAAATAACATAATCATTAATAAAAGCTTTTCTTTGTACATTATGCAATAGGATGTCTTTTATTTTCGTAACCCTTCTATGAATGACCTTCACAGTCAGGGCGTTTGTTGACAAACAATGTACGGCAGCGAGTGCACGACGCAATACGCACGTGGTACGGGCCAACCGCAACCGGTTCCACCGGCAACCGGCGTCGCCATGTTTGTTGTCACGCCACCCAGCTGTCTCGTTTTAGCCGCCATTCTTTACTCTTCTAACTCGCACATCTCTTTTACTTCTCGGACCTCTCGCTTGTTTGCCTACGTGACCGACAATAACATTACCCTCTTGAATTGGACGTGGACGGCAACGTACGTAGTAGGCTTAAAGTATATTGATATGTATTGAGCACAGAAATAGTAATAATAAGACAATATTATTACTTATTTATTCTATCTTCTATATCTACTTTATTTATTCTGTGCTATTGCGGTACATACGGTGCATGCGGTGCATACAAGCACGGAATAAATAATAGTGCTACGTTGATAAAAGTGATACAAGTTAGAGCTCCTACTCTATTTTAATAGCGTATATTGTATTTTAGAGGTTTTTACTTCTAATTATAATTTTGTAAATATTCAAACGTTTTTTACAGGTTTTGTAATTTGTAATATATTTTATGATGTGTAGTTAATAGGGATGGGCCGAATATGGATTTCACCGAATACGAATATTTGGCCGAATATTCGGTAAAATTTTTACCGAACCGAATATTCGGCTGAACATTATTCGGCAGGATAACCTCGGGACTTAACCAATTTATGTCGAAACTTGTTACCGTAAAGCACACGGGATTAGCGCCGGACCCTGCCTCTCGCTTCCCGCCACACCTGACATGTTATTACATTATCTAGTACCTACTGAGCAAATTGCCGGCACATGCTTATGTTTTGACTATTCTTGTGATAAAAAAGTATTTCGTTGTTTTATTCTTAATTAAAGTTAAAGTTATAGCCTATATAGGTCCCACTCCTGGTCACAGGCCTCCGCTCATTTCTGAGAGGGTTATAGGGCAAGGAATTGTCCACCGCACTGCCCCAATATGCTTGTTGGCGAACTTTACATGTCTTCGAAATAATTTTTTTCCTATTTTTCAGACATGCAGGTTTCCTCACGATGTTTTCAAAATTTTTGTAAATCAGCACTTAAAATTGCAATTAATAATTTCATTGGTGCCAGCGGGGATCGAACTCGGTTTGGTCGTGCACTGTGAAATTTACAGCGACCGCTAACCATCTGAGCTACCATGGCTCTTTATTCTTAGCGAATAAGGTAAAGAGCCTTAAGAATTTTATTCTTAGTGAAAATTGATAATTATATGATAAAAGTGAGCGGCAGGAGATTTACTATTTGGACTTATTTTAGAGAAACTGACGACCAAAGTAAAGTGAAATGTACTAATGTAATTTAATGTTTCTTTGTTTGATTCCAAAAATATTTTATCAAGTTTCTATTTGCTATAGTCGGAAATAAATCCACAGTGCCTCAAAAACATAAATGTATAGATGTATGCGTTTTGAGGCACTCTTAGAGTAAGTAGATTTAAGGGTAAATATAACCTCAAATGGCTTAGCAAGATCCTCCGTTATGCCAAAAGTATTGCAGCATTAATTTTGAAATAAATGTACCTATGGTAAAGTAGAGGATTAATGTTAAGGACTATGTTAGACGAAAACACGATTCCGTAAAATTTTCTCGATAGAAAAAAAATCCAGTTACCTCCAAACTGAACAATAAACCGCTGTTATTCATAAAATACTTTAAACAAGATCATGAAACTTTGCATACTAACTGAACTAACTATAAAGCAGTGCTTATGTTATTTACTTTTTTTAAATACCATTATTTTCACTGTAAAAAGAAATTACCTAAACTATCGGCGCGTAAGCTTGATTCCTGTCGCCCCGTTAGTATCGCTCCGGCTTTTGAAGGGAGAAGTTGTGTCGCTTACGATCAGAATACACATTACGCAACAGGACGACGTAAAATTAAAATGGGAAATAATGATAACCGTTATAAAAATAAGAAGCGACTGGGTTGGCGTTAAGAAACAGGCATAAATATGATAAACCTAATGAAATAAGTATCTAACGAACTATCTACTTAGAGTATTAGTGATTACAAACATGTCGGTACATAGCATACGACGCGCGGGGAAGTGGGGGTGAAATTAGAATTTGAGCTGACTTACTATATCCCCTTAATTCATAAATAAAATATACTTTCAAGTGTAAAGTACATCGCATTACTTAATTCGTACGTTTCAATACATTGGACACTATGAAAATGTTCGGTGATTTAGCCGAATATTTGGCCGACAGCTGACTTTTTTTGCGTCCGAAGCAATTAAGGGCAACCCTCCGGTAATGGGGGAGGGAGGTGGAGAATGCTCATAGCATACCACGCAGCCGGCTGCGTGGTTATGTGGAGACTTTTACCCACTAAACTCCACCTTTAGGGATTGGCTTACTGATCTGACGAGAGATCTTTAGGCCGTAAACGGACGCGACCCTCCTTGGCAGAAAGGAGGGCGCAAGGCCACACCTGACATGTTATCACATCATCTATTACTGAGCAAATTGCCGGCACATGCTTATGTTTAGACTATTTTGGTGAGAAAAAAAGTATTTTGTTGCGTTATTCTTAGTGAAAATTGATAAAAATTTTATGATAAAAATGAGTGGTAGGAGATCTACTATTTGGACTTATTTTAGAGAAACTGACGAACAAAGGAAAGTAAAATGTATTTATGTAATGTAATGTTTCTTTGTTTGATTTCAAAAATATTTTATCAAGCTTTCTACTTGCTATAATTAGAAATTAATCTACAGTGCCTCAAAAACATAACATTTCAAGTAGATTAAGCCCATAAATAAAATATACTTTCAACAGTAAAATTATGAAAGACATGGCATTACTCAATTCGTACATTTAGATACAGTGGACACTGAGTACCACTTAAGGGGATATAGTAAGTCAGCTCAAATTCTAATTTCGTCCCCACTTGCCCGCGCGTCGTATTCGTATGCTATGTACCGACATGTTTGTAATCACTAATACTGTAAGTAGAAAGGTCGTTAGACACTTATTTCATTAGGTTTATCATATTTATGACTGTTTCTTAACGCCCAGCCAGTCGCTTCTTATTTTTATTACGGTTATTTCCCATTTTAATTTTACGTCGTCCTGTTGCGTAATGTGTATTCTGATCGTAAGCGACACAACCTCCCCCTTCAAAGGCCGAAGCGAGGTGACCGGGCGGCAGGAATTACACTACAAGAGGCCGATAGTTTAGGTCAGTGATTCCCAAAGTGGTCTATATCGACCCCTAGGGGTCTATGACAACTTGCAAGGGGTCTACGTCAGCGAAAAAAAATTTGGGGGCCCATGAAATGAAAATGGGGGTCCACGATAGTGGATCTCAACACATACACTGATAGTACTTATTTACTTACATCATACTATCTTATAATATCAAAACATATACATTATTTATAAAAGTACCTATGAAGTAAAAAATTTATTATATATGTTTATAAAATTGTGTAAGTTGTAGGATGTTGGTATTCGCTTTGTGGTCGCAATACATTTTGAACTTACTACTACTACTATTACTAAAAACCTGAGAGTCGCAGTCTCAGAGCTTCGCTACCTTGCACTGACTTGTTCAATTCGTCACTCTATAAATACGAATGTGGGACAAATACGTTTATTCGTTTCCTGAATCTTGAAAAGGAAAGTGCTAAGAAAATATTTTAAAAAGTATAAACAGATAGTATATCACACAAATTATAGTGAGTCAGTGTTACTTTGTTTGAGAGTGCTGGAGAAAAGTAAGTACATTATTTTTTATTAAA